TAAAATAATGACCGTTTCTAATATTTAATGTGATTGCTTTCTTGACATATGGTATATTGTATAAACATTTTTTAATATTTATTTTTTGTAGTTTTAATTAGGTTTATTTAAAATATTAAAATTAAGATTAAATTTAATTTTCAAAATTTTTAATTCAATAGGTTTAATTTTTTATTTAACTAACTATTAAAATATAAATTAAAATAACTAAAAATTAAATTAAATTAAAAAATAAATTAAAATTAAGTTTAATTAAGATTAAAGTAATTAAAACGACCAGTATTGCAAATAATGCATTAAAAAAATTAAATTAATATTTAAATTAAATTTTTATTTTATTTTGTAAATTAAAAAATAAATAAAATTCCACATACCAAATTGAAAAATAAAAATAAAATTTTTAATACCACAAATGTATTTTTAATTTTTAATTCCAACTACCGGATTGAAAAATAAAATAAAAAAATTTCAATACCTAGCATATAATTAAGAATAAAAAAAAATTGTTTTAGTAAAACTATTTTTTCGCGTTCGTTAATTAATTAATTTAAACTTAAATTTTTTAATAACTGTTTTCAGGGTTTCGAATTTTTTATACCAAAAACTTGGCGGCAAAAATTAAATTTTCGGTTTTTAATCGCGATGTTGGGATTAAAAATTAAAAATTTTATTTTTCAATATCAATGAAGTATCCGAACGTGAAAAAATAGTATATCTAAAAGATTTTTTTTTTTATTCTTAATTATATGCTAGGTATTGAAATTTTAGGTATTAAAATTTTCATTAATTATTTTTCTTATTTTTTAATTTTTTTTCCAACCCATTAATTATTATTTTTTTTTTCACGAACTATTGTTATTGTTTTGTTTCTTATAAATTTTTTTTTTTTCAATATTTTTTGTTTTATTAATCAAATTAGTTCCACTGAACTTAATTATAAAGCGGATATTATTGTAAATAATTACATTTAGTTTTATTTAATATTTTTTAATATAGTTTTTTTATATATTTATACTTCTTGATTTTCGATATTTCTTATAATTTTTTCACTATATAAAATTTATTGTATTTCATTCAATTAAATTATAAATTAATTTTTTAATTTATCGGTTTCTGCATGTTATTGTTATTATTTTATAATATAAATTATAAAATGCCAATATCACTTAATATTTAATGTGAACTATTATTCATGCGTACTCACTTGCTCCTTGTGCATATGTTGAGTCCATGTAATAGCTCAATGTGTCCTTATAGCTGAGGTCAACACACCCTGAGCCGGCATATTGCAATAGGAAGTTCGCTATGGCTACGACATCATCCTCCTGAGCAAGCAAATAGTCACAAAGAGCTGGTACATCATCGCCGCTAGAAATAGTTAGTATTTTCTTAAACGTAATATCTTTTATAGTCCCCCTCTCTCATATAAATGTCGCACTCAACCTACATCTGATATTGTACAATTCCAGAGAAGAGATTCGATATGCTTGAAAATAGCGTCCACACGTCCAAGTCATTATGTTCGTCGAAATTGTTGCAAATCTTCATCATGGCCTTTACCTCGGCAGCGCGACCATCCCGTATCATAGTCTCTAAAGATTGTATGCCATTTTGCACACGATTGTAGCACTGCTCGCTACCCAATTCGCGTAGAGCGCGACCAACGACTTCTTTGTACTCTATATGGTTAGACAAATATTTTTCTTTTATATGAAAAGTCATTGCTTAGCAATTTTTGCATTGAATGTACCTCTGAAGTCCACTTTAGCCAAAAGCGGTGCGCTTGAGGCCCAGCCACCGGTTAAAAGCTCTGGATATAAGTGCTTGAACCACACAACCATGCTCGCAGCATATGAGCCGCCAGCCATTATAACCTTTGAATTCGCCAAACCCGGATAGTTCTCACGTTGGTATGTAATGAAGTGTGCCAAATCGGCGAGCGCCTGCTTGACGTGCAAATATTTCAAGTTATCGACAGTGATGTCGCTAAAGAGATTACCAAAGTCCGATAGTTTTGTTTTTGCATACAAATTTTATATATAGACCAATTCGGCAATGACCCTGCCACTTACCTTGTTGGGCGACTTGCGCCGTAGTAACGGTGCTCAGTATAGAAAAGTATGCCGTTATGCTCCTTTGCCATGTCGACAAAGTGACCACGTGTTATAGAGCTCGATGATATGGTCCATTCCCCACCGACGTAAATGAATATCGGTCCACCCGCCGTAAAATATTCATCGTTCTCCATATAACGCTACATAAACAAGGGAAAAAAGAAATTCCCAAAATTAAATATTTTCCACTAACACGATTTCATTGCCTCAATTCTTCACCATTTGCCATGTCTCTTCATTAGCGTCATCGAATTGATCCAATTTTTGTTCGATCGTGTTGGTGCTCAATCTAGGGCTAGCTGCGCGATTGAGCGCCTTGCCTACGGGCGGCTCACGTTGCAAATATCTCAAACTCTGCACATAAAGACTGCCCTTGGAATCGGTCACATTGAAGAAGTCCGCTCGCAGTTTATCCAAATTAAATTTGGCCGTGACCGTGGTCGCGTACAGCGCGAAAACCAACACAAAAAGTAATTGCACCGACCTCATTTTGTCAAATGACCGTCCCTGATTTTTAATCCAGCTATAAATACCTTCGGTAGGCGACGTGTCCACCATTGCGATTATGCTTTATATTTCCTCGTAAGTATTCGGTAACTTTATTGGCCCCACTCTGATAAGAGGAGGCTAATTATTCTTGTGCTTAACTAGTTTTTATAGCCAGCACTTATCGTTTTCAGGCGACATTGGTGTTCCCACCGGCAATACCCGTATTGATATACATTTAATTGAACTATGATTTATGGATCATGCAAAAGTAAAATAGTATGTTTTTTTTTTTAACGATCTAAATAGTTTATACTGTCTCTGATATATACCAGCGTCAACTGTGAACTAAAACTTCGGGTGATTGTACGTTGGTCTTCAAGGCTGGCTGGTTGTCGGTGCGAATTTCGATCTTAAGACAGATTATATTGTCATTACGCTTGATTTTTCCGATGTATTTCAAACTAGAGAAGTTGGAACCGATCGGATCGTGTCGGTGCAGATTTGATATTTTTCTCGAACTTTTCAAATCTTAAAAGGTCAGTTGTTTAAATTTAAAGCAGCTTTACATGATGTCTATACTAAAAACAAGAAAAAACGTCTACTTCAGTTGCACCGAAGCTATAATACCCTTCGCAAATACAATAGAAGAACTTGATTTTGAACAATCAGTTTATATGCTATAGTAATAATATAGCTATATGCTATAGTAATCCGATCTGAACCTGTACAATTTTTTCGGAGATTGCACCATAACCTTAGACAAAAATCCATGTACAATTTCTTGAAGATACCTCGTTAAATGAAAATGTAGGGTACAACAAGATTTTATTTATGTCTTCGGTTTCATGGAACTAATAGCGAATGTACACGAAGTTCAAACAATCACCTTGGAAACCATTATTAATGTCGATACTAATAAATCCGTTGATTATTCCTGAATGCTCATATTGATTATAAAATCTCAAAAATGTGACTGAATATAATATTCTTATTGCGCTTATGTTAACTCTGCGTTCCATGGTGTATGATAGCTACATATGGTACATACTACCCGAGTAAATCGACAAGCTGATTTTAGCTACTCTTTTATTCAATCAATCTCATTGGACTAAACGCTGTCAGTTGTTTCATCAGCTTGAAAGTTGATTGCTGCAGACGTCTATACAATAATAGACGCATCAGTAGGCCTGAGTTAGGAGCACTGAAGTTTGAGCTGCTATTATACTGCAGCGCAATTAAAAACATTTTTCTGGGAGTGTTGCCAACTGCTATAAGATTATATATTAAAGACCTAAGACCTTTGAAAAGACCTGTATATATAATATGTACATATTTTTGAAAAGGACATACTATTCTATATTATTGCTAAAATAATATAACTCAGCAGTTGACCGATTTGTTCGGTAAAAAATCAGCCAAATGCACTGGGTTCCAGATATTTGGTATCTGTGTCCGTGAAAAGTTATAGACCGATCCCAACAATTTTTGGGCACAAGAATAAATACCTTAAGGGCACTACTTGTGCAAAGTTTTATTGAGATATATTAATTGGTGCTCGATTTGTATAATGGTAGTGAAAGAATCAGATTGAATTCAAAGTTGGGTTATATGGAAGTAGGCGTGGTTGTAGTCCGATTTCTCCCATTTTCACAGTGTATAATAGCAATGGTTGAGTAATAATACCAAATTTAATTAAAGGGTGACCTAAAGGCCACGCCCATTGTCTAATTTTTACACTTGCTCCTATAAAACTCTTTTCCATCATCTTGTTTGTGAAATTTAATGCTTGTAGCGTATTTATTTAGTGAGTTATTGCGCTTTAAGTAGTTTTCAACATAACCGTTATATGCAGAGTAGGCGTGGTTATTATGTGATTTTACCCATTTTCATAGCGATTAAAGGAGTGCTAAAAAGACTGCTTCCCAGCAAGTTGAGTTCAGTTAGATTTAACGGTTTGGAAGAGATGTATTGTACATTAAACCATTTAGGAGGCGGGATCATGCCCACTTTTAAAAAGTGTTTGCCAACAGGTGACCCTTGCTACTGCGATCCTCTGTACGTATGCTACTTTATAGGTTTTGGTTTAATGGCGTTTTGTGGGCGCGGCTGTGGTCCGATTACCCCCATCTGCAATACCGACCTATCTAGGGTGCCAAGAAACATATGTAGCAACTTTCATCCAATTGTCTCAAGTTATCGCTTGTACAGACGGACGGACAGACAGACAATCACTCGAAATTCTAAGTCGATTATTTTTAGGTGACACAAACAACCGTTAGGAGAACAAAACTATTATACTCTGCAGCTACATGTTGCAAGAGTAAAAAATAGTGCCGGTATTTTCGAATATATTATATGTACCTATAGTGTTATCTTAACCATAAATTAAACAAAAACTCAGTTTCATTGTTTTCAATTTTATTGGCACACGCCGCCGGCAATGAATCCGTTAACTAACAATGTTTTTAAAATACTACAATTAATTACGTTATTTGCTCAAATAGGTTTTCGCTTTATTAGCCACGCTATCGCTACCGTTATCAGTGCTGCCGATCCATTCGCGCACCAACTGGGCGAATTTTTCCTTTGACGCACGCATTTCGGCGCTGTCACTATCGCTGATCGAGCGTAAATCTTTGCAATGCGCATAAACTGCGAGAAAGCCATAAAAATATGTAATTATCAAAAGGTATTCCAGAAAAGTAAAAGTAATAATTTTCAACACTTACGCGGTACAATCGTTGCCTCGGTGGCATTCTGTATGCCCATTGCGCGCCATGGATCCAGTTGACCGTGTGTAAAGTAAACATTCTCGACATTTGGTTCCAATCCACCGAAGAGTTGATTGGTGGCCGCCACCTGTTGGACTATGTATTCGATGGAGAAGCGTTCGCCGTAGATATCCTCACACATTTGCAAGTAGAGATCCACAGGGAATTTAGTGCCGAAAGGTTGTTGCGTAGATCTGGACGTCTGATACCAACCGAACTCATTGCAGGTCTGATAAACCCACTGACGCACTGGAAGCAAATCAATTGCCATTAAAAATAAGTTGGGATAATGTTGCTTTACACTATTTACTTATGTTATCATCGAAGGTGGAGTCCATCATGGTGGCTATAATGGCTTTATAGGTTAGTTGATTGCAAGAAGCACTACCGAATTGCGTTAATAAATACCCAGCAACACCGCTTATATCAGTTTCGCCTTCCATAATTTTACTGCAGACACGTTCGATTTGGCCAGTGCTAAGTGGGGTAAGGGGGAAAGTGAACGTTCGCAAAGCAATTATATAAATTTATTTATTCCTCTTGCCATCTCGGCACTCACTTGTGTGTCTGCACAACGCCTGCAAAAATATCGGAAATCTCGCTGAACAAGGTCCACAAGTCCAAATCGTTGTACTCATCGAAAGCGGCGCAAAGTTTCAGTATTGCTTTCACTTCGGCACCGCGTTTGTTAGCGAACAATCTCTCCATTTCGGCAATACCATTTTGAATTCGGTTATAACAGCCTTCGCCACCGACTAAGCGTATGGACTGGCCGGTAACCTCCTTATATTCTATGGCAAAGTAAAAAAATTCAGTTAAAAATTAAAGAAGCTCCTTAACTTCTTGTTGTAGTAGCTGCTAGTGGAAATGGCCATAAATGAAAAATTTGAGGGTCTGTCAAGACTGCACACGGTTTTCTAACTTATATCTACCACGTATTTATAATTGTTATTAATTTTACATCTACTTTACTTACCGTAAAAATTGATCTTAGCAAAGAGTGGCGCACTCGAAGCCCAAGCACCTGTCGCCAACTCAGGATACAATTTCTTGAACCATGTCACCATTGTAGCCGAATAGGATCCACCGGCGAGTATAACCTTCGAATTGGCAGCGCCGGGTATGGTTGCACGCATATGCTCAATGAAATGCGCCAAATCTGCCAAAGCTTGACGTACGTCTAGGTATCGGATGTTCTCATTGTCCATATTACTGAAAGGATAGAAATAAAATATGTTGTTAAATATATGTATATCTCCAATTTCTTCTCATAACATGGATTTTATATCCATATTGTGCGTTCTCCATCTCGAACTACTACCCACCTTGTCGGATAGCTTTGGCCGTAGTAACGGTGTTCGGTGTAGAAAAGATAACCATTATGCTCTTCGGCCAAGTCATAGAAGTGTCCGCCCGTGACATAACCGGGGGTTATTTCCCATTCACCGCCGACAAATATGAAAAAGGGACTGCCCTGCATGTAGAATTCATCATTTGCTATATAACGCTGTGGAACGACAAGAAAAAATATGCTTAAGAACTTCCCAAAACATGCTTAACTGTGCTCCCCCACCATTTGCCATGTGCGTGTTTCGGTTTCATTGAAATTATCCAACTTTTGTTCGATCTCCAAATACTCTATATTGGCGCGATTCTGCGTCGCCGGCTCAGGTGGTGGCGGTTCCTGATGCAGCTGTCTAAAGGTACGCTCGAAAATTGTTTCGTCCTTAGTCGCTGTAACGACGCTGATCAAGGCAAACACCACGGCCAAGACTGTAAATCCTCGTGCCCAACTCATTTCTTCTGTTTTTGTCTGCCCTCCGCCGTTGTCGTGATACGACTACTAAAGTTTTATTCTTGCCGTTATGAGCTTGTACTTAGACTAACTCAGTTAACGGTATATTATTTATGGCATACATTACATCTTATCACCAAATTGTGCCGATTTTGTTTTACGTATTTCCCATGCTCAAGTGCCCTGCTAATCGCATTCATGTGGCGTTTTAGCACACTATTTCAGCTAGAAGCAACGTCTAACGTATTCAAAGTCTCACTTAGTCTAGCATGTTTGCATTTACTGTGGCCTTTATTCGTAATTTATTTCTCATTAATTAATCTAGTCATTTCAGCCATATCATATTAGACTAAGTATATGCACATACAGGGTGATTCATATAACTGTTTCTTTTAAGATCTAAAAACAAATTTTATTTCTAACGGTATACTAATTTATTAATGTCCTTTCTCGACTATTTCGGGACGTTTTTTGTACCATTTACAAAGTTCTCGAGACATTTCGTGAAGATTTTTGGATAAATCTAATAGATGTCTCCCTTTATATTCCTGACTAGTAGAGTGTATTGTTCGCATTGTTCCGTTCCCCGCGGCAATACACAATGATCCATTAAACTGTACTGAAATGTAGAGTTTACTGTGCCGATGATACGATTACCGAACCTGTCGCGAAAACTATTGATTGCAGTATAGCATTCTGCAGTATATAAATTTCGCCCTGCCTCTACAAAAAAATTGGGACTAAGTTGTCAGTCTTCATGTCTGACTTTTATATTTCCCCAAATAGTTAGCGATAATTCAGGAGTTTTATGAAAAAAGTCAATGTTTCTAGGCTGATTATTGTAGCGGCAAAACAGGTTTCCTAAGTAGTTATGAGGATGCTGTTGAGTTGACAGTCCTTTACCAGTTATAATTCAGATCCGTTCTGGTTACATCGCTCCAGCTGTCGTGGGGACGGTTTCTGGATTGAACCACACTTTCGGTTAAGCCAGTATTGCCATTGTAGTTGTGTGCATAGCTAGGACCCTAATTTTGTCTACTAAAATACCAATCTTTGTGGGAAGACTCGTTGTTAGCTTGTTAAACACCTCTTATCCTTCACCTCTTAATCATGGAGTTTATAGTTGCGCATGCTGATTAACTAATTGATCACATTCCAAGTGATTTTAACAAAAATTTCTACCTTATTTGACTTTAAAATAGCTTAACACTTCATAAATTCAAGTTCTATAGTAGCTTATAATAATCTCTTACTATTTCTTATCACTTTTTTTATAAGATATGGTATACTGCTTAATAACGGGTAGCGCGTCGAGTACTTGATACGTGACTATAAGTGGTTCCACACACTTAAATTGTTGGACATTAGATCAAAATAATCATTGTTGATATCAATTAGGTTATCTAAACAGTTATCTATTTTCTATTAGCTTCGATACTAGCAATTGTGAGCTATGGTTTATAGGAGTGGGTTTTCAATTATTTATTCCGGTATACCGTGTTGTTCAAATGTATGTATGTATAGTCCTTAGTAGCCGGTTTTCAGAACCTTTCTTGAATATTTCCCTTTTCGGAAAGTTACTCTGAAAATTACACTGACAATTTGTCAAAAAGGTACGAAACTATTTTCGTTAAGACACTTAAGTGGAGTATTTGGTTTCTTTTCCAATAGTTTCAATATTTCTAAATCTGTTTTAGTTTTAGGGGATAGGTTTAGAGGATTACCTAATGCGCTACTTCGAGCGGGTAAATTTCAGAGTCCTTGACATTTCATGGGGAAAATCAACAAATATCATTCGGGTGAAGACGCGCATCGCCGAAGAACTTTCCGTGCTAACTCAACATTATAACGTAACTTGATAACATGCCAATCTAAATATGAATAAAAAATTCCTAAAAAAATATAACTACGAATCGTTTTCCAAAAATTCCTTATAATCTTTTTTCGATTAAAACTTTTTCGATTAAAACTAAAAACGTCCATATAGAAAGTTACAGTTACGATATATTAAAAAAGCTGTGAGTTGAAGTGTTGAAATTTTTCGATGCTCATAAATCTTTAAGCAGCGTGTGTTTGTATTGAATGGACTTCTCCCAATATACTCATTATTCGAAAAGACGCAATGTTAACTAGAATTAGTGGGAACTCAAAACAATATTAAGTTTTAAGAAAGGTTAGGGCTCAAGTTGAGAATAACGTGTTTCTCAAAGCCTACGTCATTTTCTAAAACTACTTCGACTGGAGAACCAAAATGTTTTCACAATGCGGACTTTCTTTTTGTATATTAGTAACATTTTCTCTCATCTCTTAAACAAGAATATGATTCTCCAATGGTTACAGAAAAATTTAAGTATTTTAGATATTAAATTGGGAACCATTTATATATTTATTTCTGAAAAGGAAATATTTCTTCGATGTTTTCGGGAGTTTTCGAAACAGTCATTCTATCATTACATGTTTCTCTTTTAGCAGACACGAACTTTGTAATTATAGCTGTTTCTTGAACTTGTACAGATGAGGTTAAATGAAGTTGATTAAATGCTGGGAGAGAGTCAGGTCTTGCAGTAATGGAAAACTGTTTTAAACTATGACTGTTTGAATTGATTCTCGTCAGATCTTGTTCTTATTATGCATGATCCACTCGATATACTTGCCATAAAGCTTAAAATCAAATCAAATACCTTTGACATATAGCTGAGTACTAGTTTAGAGTATTAAGATATTAATTTCTCCATAGGACTGAAATATATTTCAAATGATCGTTGTGGGAAAAAAATGAGCAAACCTTTGCATGCAATGCTTTTTTTTTGTCATACATTTGCATAAATCCTTATTTGATTAGATTTGATTTGGAGACCATTTCGAAGGAAGTCTGCGTAATGCGCTGAACAATAATGTAATCTGTAATGCACTCTTCAGTACTTCAAATGCTGCCGCTCTACGTGAATCTAAAGCAAACGAAGACCACGTGTTTAAGCATGCAAAACACGGCTTGCAATGCGAAAGAAAATCAAATCTGCCGAATTGGGGCGTCTTGTAACTAATTATATGTGTAACTGATAATAAAGGAAAACTAGAATTTCTAAGGAAATCCAGCAAGATATAAAGAGTAACAGGAAGCGCAAGTAACGAACAAAAAATAAATTTCTCTAAGATCTCATTGAACGTTTATTGAATATTAAAATATTATTAAATCATTACAACCCTTTAAAGTGAACACTGGCACTCACACATATACAGACACGCACACACACATTTGGCTGTTATGAAGCGGAAGTAATGCTACTACAAAGTGTCGGAGTACTTACAGCTCGCATGAAGTGAGGGATTAAGCGAATTTTCAAAAGGCTTGTTGCAAGGAAGTAGATACATATACATAACTACTTATAATATACATACATGCATACCTATTGAGTATCTGCATGCAAAACAAGCATTTCAGCATCAATATATAATACATATGTTAGCAATATTGTGAAATTGTTATGCTCAAAGGCATCACATCGGTATATAGAATTTTCTGCTATCTTTATGCTACTGTTAGAAATTTCATAAGATCTCTTCACTCTACAATATACCTATAAATCTAACTCCATAAAAGATATCGGCATAAAACTTTGCAGCTACAGTGACTGCAAGATGCGGCACATTTCGTACATATATAAGATACTGTGATTAAGTGTCAAAAAAGGATGAAATCCGAACATGTATTACCTTTGCCCCTTCTTCGTACTTCAGAAAATAATATTTGTTTTACTTATGTGTCTTGTATCTAGTTTGTTCTTTATGCTGAATACATCGGCCAATGTGTCAGTTATTTTAGTAAAATTTAGTTTAAATATTTTCTCAAACATACTATATGTAGTACATTGCTGAACACAGCTTATCTCAACTTAATATTTTATTCACTGAAAATGTGCATGGAATTATTCTTATATAATTTCCCACAATTAACTCTGGAAACATTTCGCCGAAGAAGCAATCTTTTTAATTTAGAATATTTGTAAATAGAAATGTTATCCTAAGCGCCTTAGATTTTTTACAAACAATTTTATCTTCAGTTTAAGCCAAATCTGTTATTTATACGCTGGCGACGAATCGGAATATTGAGTTCCATTTTTTATTTCATTTTTTTGTGAGTAATGTGATAAAAATCACTATCGATCAGAGCTGCGTCTAAAGTATGTACAGTTCAACTTGTATGTGTGTTTATCGTCATTTAATAGTACTTCCTGATGCGTTTGAAGTGACCGCTCTTAAACTTCTTAAAATAAATACGCTTCACTTCCTGCCTTCCTACCACTTTCCCCATTCGACGTATGTACATTCTAGCACACTTTGTCACATAAATTCGGTTTGTATGTATATATGCCTGTGGAAACACATGTTTTACCACACAATCAACTAATATTTACTCCACGCTTTGTCTCGCCGCTTAGCCGCCCCCTAACGCAGGCTACTTGCGCCTTGCCGCCTACGTACGAACGTTTCGGCTGCAAAGATTGCACTCTGCCTGGGTTGGCAGCGGTTTTGCCATTGACATTGATAAATTATTCTGCAAGTGTTCATGCATAAATCACAAACGGCTTGCATTACCAACAGCAGTGGCCAGTGCCAGCTGGAGCCGAATCCACTGGCAGCTCATCCAGCCGTTGAGTAAACTCTCTGGCGTTAGAAGTGCCAATTGTGGCGTCTACTGAGCTTACACTGCTTGCAAATATACATATATCTTCTTGCAATAATTTCACATTTCTTTGCCATTTCCACATATTTAATTTGTGTTTTTTATTTCTCTTTTAAACTGTCTGCATTTGTAAGTGGTGGCATTTGTTGGCATAAGTTGCTGCTAATTGACAAGTGATTTAGTGGAAATTTTATTTACTCGCGCGTATTTTTTATTGCCTCTGAGTTATTCGAAAGGACATTAATTCCATTGCTTTTGTTGTAACTCCTTTGTAGTTAACTTCGCAAGGCGGCTCCTTGTCTCCAATAATGCCAGGGGAGAGTGTGATGCCGCTATTAATAACTGTAATTTTAATGATATTGTGACTCAATGTTTTATATTTATCGTCATTTCTAAAGTGGATCGTAATTGGTCCTTGGTATGAGGCAGATTGGATAAATCAGAACTATAAGGCAATTGCTGTACAACAACAAGGAGAATTAATAAATACTGATTTGCTTTAAAATCTACACCACTTTGTCATTTAAATATTTTGTAGATTATTTAGAAGTCCTTAATAGAAACATTTATTAGAAACTAAAAAATAATTTTACTCTATACAATATTTGTTTCATTTTAACTAAGACACTGTATTTTAAAATTATATTAAATCATATTTCTTAATTCCAGGTGATTTTCTATGACTCCGACTGGAATCCGACCGTCGATCAGCAGGCCATGGATCGTGCGCATCGCCTTGGACAAACCAAACAGGTGACTGTTTACCGGCTTATCTGCAAGGGCACCATTGAAGAGCGCATTTTGCAGCGTGCGCGGGAAAAGAGTGAGGTGAGTGCTGCTTTTTTCGCTGTAAACATTATACGAACGAATTAAAGTATTAGGCACTTGCGATCGGTGCCCACAACTTGCCACTTATACTCTTGTATATATTTGCCACTTAGTTCCCTTTTGGTAACCGCAAAACGTTTCAAATTGCCAGTGCACAAAAACAATTGAAATCACTTAAGAGACACACTTGCCTCCATACATACTTACATGATTGCAGTTTGTCGGGCTGCGGGATGTGCGCGCCCGCATTCATTGTCTTGCGTAGCACGTGCGTTTTAGCGTGTCGCCACTAGCCCCTTCTTCCGCTTCGTGCCACAATAGCTAGTTGTGTTTGTTGTGTAGCACATGTGTTTACCATAGATTTTGGTTGCAAGCAACACGGCTTGCGTTCACTTGTGCGATCAGTAGTAAAATGATCTGCTTTTCTTTCATAAAATGTTGTCGCTTTATATTGTGAGCGTTGCTGTTGTTCATTCATTCTATTCGGTATTCTTGTTGCAGCCGTTGTTGTTGCATTAAGCTGTAGTTTTGTTTTTCAGTTTCCCGCACCGGAAACTAATTATTCAATTTAAATGTTGTCGAAGACGATACCGCTGTTACGCCTTCCTCCATTAAGCGAGTAGAGTTTCAGAGTTTTTGGTTTTGCTTTTGTAGGAGTTGCTCATTTTTTTATGGAAATTATATGTTTATATATGTTGGAAATGGGGTAGGCGCTTTGGTTGTAGAATGTAAGCCGGTTTTCATACAGTCTTTAAATATTCAGAATTGTCTTTCGATATCGAATTGAAAAGAGAACTTGATGTTCTCTCAGTAATAAATTACACGCATGCATGGTTTTTAAAATAACCTAATTTTTTTCTGCTATTTGTCGATCTAGTTTAAATACATTGCCTGGAACTATTTATCATTCATTGTTATTCAATATTTTCATATTATATTTGTATTACTTTTCAATTTACAGATCCAACGTATGGTCATAAGTGGTGGCAACTTCAAACCCGATACCCTCAAGCCAAAGGAAGTGGTCTCATTGTTGCTGGATGATGAAGAAATCGAATTAAAGTGTAAGTACCTTTCATAAATTTCCGCGAAAATTTATTTGTCTAACCTTCACTGTTTAAAAGCAACATTCATTTCTTCTGTCATTAAATCAAATCTGTATCATCAGATTTGCCCATATATGCGATCACTCCAGATTTTGTAAAATCCCAACTTAATAATTTTAACTGGTTGGTGAAATTTTAAATTTTTTTTTACTGAGCTGAGTAGTAGAAAGTGTTAAACAAGTTTGAACCCTCGTCGGATGCATAGAATGTGATTTAGTACCGAGTTAACAGAGTTGGTTTAATCTCTGCTGCTCTTTTTACGAGTTTACGAAAGGTTTAGGTTCCATGAATTGTGATGTCTCATTTCTACATCATCGAAAATTTTCCACAATTCCAAAAGATAAGCTTGATGGAAGATTTAAGCATTTTGGATACCATAAAGTGACTATATTTCCGATTAGATTTTAGTACTAGCGGCCCACTCGAGGAAAGGTATCGTTTGATCTTTACATCATCGAAAATTTGCCAACCTTTATGAGGTTAGGTAGTAGACTTTTAAATATGTATATCAATTCACAATATTTTCGGTGCTTCTATGTTATCAGAAATGTGGGATCTCTCTTGCAGATTTTTCAGAGTCCTGATAATATTCAGCTCTTTGTAGCGGCTCTTGACATTTCAAAATGCCTCAGAATAGTTCCAAAAATGGCTAGTTCAAAAATAACAAAAGTTTTAGGTGTTTGGGTTTAAAGCGCAAGCAGCAGTTAAGACTCACACAACAATAATCAGAGCTCTTCCAAAAATCTGGTGGTCTGACAATTAATCACAAGGAGGATATGTACGAGTAGGGACTCCCGGGACAGCCGGGTTCATAGACCGCAAGAATTGTTCATTACCACTATATTTTTACTTAACCAGAATAGAAACCGCCAGAGACTGTGAACTCGGAACCCTCCTGCAAATTGTGCAAGTAATGCTTTCACCCGGCAACAACAACATTTGCCAGAATTTAACCGGATTTTATAGGTTCGCACCGCGGTTGATTGTTCGGACGTTGTCGTCTTTAGCGACCAATCTAATCTAATGGTGCTTTTAGTGGTTTTTGTTGTTGTAGCGAGTACCTAAGCACCTATTTGGGATAATAGCAAAAATCAACTGTCATCGAAATCACTTGGTGGTAGGTCCAAGAAACGGCCTGTTTCGACTCCGTCGGACCCTAGGAAGAGCGGTATTAAGTGAGTGGTTAGTGTAATTCGGAGACTTTTTGCACACAGGACGAATGTTTTTTATGTTGGGGTCTATTCTTTATAATTAGGAGTTTAACCTGCTACAGTATCCAGAACAAAGTTGCGCTGGTTCACTCTGGTTTCACGTGGCACCCCGAGCTCACGATCTGCGATGGTTTGTGTTTCGAATGCAAGGACGCCATTCACTGAGAAAGAGTCGATGAAGGTGTTGAGGAGTGAATTATGTTCCGGAGAGTGCGGTGTTTTGACCTCTTCGGCTTAATCTTATACCTGCTACAAACACCCTATAATAGATCCAGTCAAGATCAATCTCCATTTATTATGATAAAGTATCTAAAGATTAAGATGTTCACCTAGTGTCTAGATTTTCTCATTTCCACCAATTATTTAATTGTCTCTCCTTTATCATTTACCCCACATTAAGTAAATTAAAGTGAATTACTCTAACTCTGAATTACCTTTTTCTCATTTTCTCTTGCAGATCGCCAAAAAGTTGATCCGGATGCGCCATCCACTAGCCAAAATAGAGATGTACCCGGTGTAAGCAACGATAAGAAACGCCAACGCAATCCAAATAAGGTGCGTACCAAAAGTCACTTATAAAAATATATAACAAGTAAATTGAAATGGAACTACGCACACTTTAAATGGTCGCTTTGGACTGGGTAGAAGACAGCGCGAGTTTAAACGCTTGCAGCCCACATGCAGTGGCTATCTCCAAATCAATCTGAACGCTTTAAAAACTGTAATCTAGCTAAATAGTTGCATTTATGCATATGTATGTGTATGTATGTCTAAGAGCAGACCGTAAGCGTAGCGCAGTGTTAGCAATGGTACCCACTTACTTTCCACTTGCCACGATCGCAGCACTGTGATAATGTTAATAGCATTAAAGCGGTGAAAAGTAATGTGGCGCATGCGCAACGAATGCCATCATTGTGCAACAATACGAAGTGTTGCACTTGCAATGTCATAGTGCTACTTAAGTGGCGCGCACGGCTCTCGGTGGTCCAATGCACTTGCCTATGCTTCGACTTGCAACACCGCGTGGCGTCGTTAGAAATGGTTATTTACCAACGCACTCTCTTTTGCTTCCATTTTCTTTTTAAGCTGCTATTATATCGCACTTCTGGCAGCTTAATTCAAGTACAATTTCGCTTAACAATTTCATCTGTGTCTGAAGACGTTCTTCCGACTTTATTACTATTATTATTTACTGTTGTTCTGTTGCTTCGATTCATTCTTCATTTTCCGCTTTAGCTTTTAATGAATATAAAATGTACATGCAACTGCTTTGTCGATTGCTGCATTTGTTCATGTTTTGCTCTCTTTTTTATTATCATTTCTTCCGAACCCCTTCACAGACAATGCCAACGTCATGGTCACGTGATTCGCAAATAGTGTAAATAACTGCAGGGAAACAACACACTTCAATATGTATCACATCAGAGTGCGTAGACCACTTCTTCGGTTGCACCCGCTTTTTGTATTCTTCATCTCGTATTCTACCACGTATTATGCTTTTTAGTGTTTTACATAGCCATGCACCGTTTTTGCAACAAGTTATAAGGATTTCCATGAAATAGCAAGGAGAAGTTCTCTTTCGATATTCTTTACTCTAATTTTAGCGAATGCTGCATTAGTATTCTCTCTCAAGTCACGAAACACTTTAAATTATCGCAAATATTAGTGAATATACAAATTATCATAATTTCAAACAAAATTTTAGTAACTTATTAGGGCCTTTCACATAGGGTTTTCGGAAGCAGATCTTCAAGAATTCAACTCCAGTCATCTTCTGGCAAAGCAAAGATTAAGTCTTTAGTAGCGGTTCCGTAGTGCCGCTCATTTCATATTCACAATGTATGTAATCACCTTGGAAAAATAAGGCTCGAATTTACTCCCAGTTTTGTTGTAATTTTAAAGGTTAAGTAATGTTTTCGATGAAAATGTATCTCTCTCAATTCGAACTATTTAGGTATTGTAGAAATGAAGTAAACATAATAAAATTGTATACTCAAACGAGGTTACAAAGCGTAAGGATGGTCAGAAAGGCATCAAATATCATCAAAAAATTAATTCATTCATTACTCACCTGGAACTAACGCATTTCTTCTTTCTTTTAAAAGATCAATAAATAGTTCATCTCTAATGAACAAATAATTACTTTATGCCATACTCTCGAGGCTCTGAAGCATTTTGTGATATTACCATCCAGATAGGAGGTTTCCACATTCCTTCCTTACCAAAACTGGCTATATATTTTTATTCTTTGAATTTTTATATTTCAGGACTTGACTTTGTTTTCCAACCAAAGAAATATTTCAAATATCACACACTGCTCTATATAAGCGCTTACAAAAGTGTGTTCATAAATTTATAATAGAATTTATTGAAAATATATTAGAACAGTTCGGAGCTTTAACCTATAAATGAGGAGGTCTTTTTTACCCTCATTGCAAAAAGTGTAGTAAAGTAAAAGTTCTACAACAATTTTTAGAGATGAAGAAAGATAAAAACCTTTATAGAATTGCCGCGGAATAGTTCAAATGATTACTACAACAAAAGTTATATATTCAAAATAGGAATAAGAGCATTATAAAGATTCAAGTAACAAACCATTTTTTGAGATCCATGAACTTTAAAGGGTTAGGTGTAGTCAGAGACATGAAAAATTTACAATTTTAAATATTTATTTTTGACAGTAAATTATTTGATTTTATAAAAGTTAAAACACAGCATCATTAAGTAAGGTTGCGATTTTGTGAAAATTATGATTACCACTAACACCTTGATATAGATATTTCGCTATGTTACATAATTAATTCCGAACGTAATATGTTAATATGTAGATCTTTTTTGGTCACTTTTGCACTCCTTTTGCCACTGGGGAGCTTTTCATTTTAATTGCTTTTAAACTCTTTTTACCTGTAAATCTGCTATTTGTTCTTTTATATTGTCTGCCCTTGCTTCTTTTTAAATCATGTTTACCATATATACCCCTTTTTAGTTCTGGCCGGAAAACGTTTCAAGTTTTGCTTATTCCACTTCCACCAGCATTTTTTTCTACTCTGATCTATACTATATTAAGATACTTATTCTTGAGCGTTTTTCTTCATCGCTTTTCTTTTTGTTTTTTTTTTTTGTTACTCATCCGTTTCGGTAAATGATTTTGTGCCTTCAATGGAACACTGATTATACTATAAACTCGCTTTAACTGACAATGACTCTACGGTTTCTGCAAATGGCGAAGTCAAGTTGGGGTAACCGCCAACGAGTGTCTGTCACTGTGCTATATTCATTTGTGTGGCAAGTATGAATACCAAAGGGAATAAGTATCATAAGCAACAGAAATTTCCGTTTGTATACAGAACTTTGTGATATTTCTGTGTTTTTTATTTGTGTAATACAAGACCATGAATGAGTGCACGGTATATATTACCTATATATATTAATGTTAGGACTGTGTTGGAAATATAGCGCATACTCTTGTTGTAGGCTTGCTTGTCTACTGATTTTATTACAATTAATAAATAAATCTGATAAAGAGGACCTAATCGCGCATGGAATCAAATCTACTTTCGTAACTGGTGGCAATACAGAGATCAAGAAATTATGGTCTACGAAAAGACAATAAAAAATACTTCTATATTATATTTAGATATTTTATTCACAATAAACAAACGAAAATTCAAAAGCAGTTTTGGACTTAAATAACCCCAAGTTGAAAGAAAAATATCCACTAAATTCCAAATCTTTTACTTTCTGCAAGAGCTATCTATTGCAAAAATATGTCGAAAAAGGGTTCAGTTGATGCAATTGAAATTATTTCACCAAAAAATCGATCTTCAGAAATCACAAATATTTCCTATAGGGTATTTCCTTCTTTCAGTATATACTTCATTCAATTAAAGTGTCTTAACTTATTTGACATAATAATTTATAAATCAATGCTAACATTAAAATATCTCGCTAAGAATTTTATATTTCGGTTAGTATTTACATTAGGGGTCATTTGCTGACAACACTCAACGGAAATGAGAAATACATATATTGATAATTTGAAGTTGATAATTAGTCGTATCTCCTTCCAATGCAATCTGCTTTTTCATATAAATTAAGCTCTTTAGCTAAATATATTTCAAAGAGGTCGTTGTCTCCATGAATCAAGTAGCAAAAGCGACTTATACATTTTTAATAAATATATAAATATTATACATAATTAATGGAAGTTGGCCAGTTTATATTAGTTTTTAGTTCCGCACTTAGTTTCTTTGACTCGTAGAAATTTATAGATTCCAAATTCAAAGCTCGACCAAATCCAAAATTGAAAATAAACTAAACAGTCCATTAGACACTCCCCTACTTATCTCGAAGCCCGCCAGAAATTATGCTGAGTCCGAACTTTATTCAATCAAAACTTTATAGCTATTGTTTGGCAACTCAAACTTTAGTAAGAATTCAAGCATTCGAGTAAACTTTCACTCTAGTAAAGCAAATACAATGTTATTGATAGCGGTTCCGTAATACTCGTTGTTTTCATATTGAAGATGTGTGAAATCGCCTTGGAAAATAACGCTTGAATGTACTTTCAGTATTGGTAGTAGTTTTGAATGCTAAGTATGGTTTTCGATGAGAATTGGTTGTAGAATCCGACATCGCAAAAGAAAAATAGTAAAGTTATATTAAGTCTATCACAATGTTACTAACACCCAAAAGTAAACGTCAGAGACCCTATAAAATATACATATAATAATCAGCATAATGAGCTAAGTCCATTTTGCCATGTACTGTCTATATATACGAGATATCGATCTGGATATTTGCACACGTCCTTTTCTCTCCAAGAAGTCAGAACCACCGATATTTGACCACTATACCTCCAGGTATATGCATAGCTGCCATATAAACTGAACGATCAAAATTAAGTTCTTGTATGAACTTCTTTCTTTGTGAAAGTTATTATAGCTTCGGCACAACGAAGTTAACGTTTTTTCTTTTTTTTTTTAATGTTAACTTGGTCAATATGTAGTTCGTTCCCAATGAACAAATAATTACTTTCGCCATAGTTACCCTATTTTAGATTTTAAATTGAAATTTACTTTCAGTAAACTCAACATTTTTGTTATAGCAATTTATTTATCACATTATGCTACATTCCACTCTTAAGTCCTCGTTTTCCATAATTGCAAATTCATTTAAATTTTTTCTAATATTTATTCCTGTTAGTCAATTATTTACTCGTTCCTACTCTTTTTATGCCGTTTTTGCGCTCATTCATAGTTGCAATGATCATTGTTCCGACTCCTTATGCTTTGACACGTTCCACGGCGACCAACAGCCACGCTTGGCTGGGCATGAATGACAGAGAGCCTCCAACAGCCTTTTAGAGAAGGCAAATTGGCGGAAAGCATTGTTACAATTACAATTTTGCTCAATGAAAACACACAAAAAACAAAATCGATGAATATGTAATAATTATGTGTATGTGTAGATACTCGTAAG